TGTTTGCAGAAAAAAACTTCTGGCCAAGAGAAACTTTGGTGGAAGCCACATTTTACAGGCTGCTGAGTGAATTACAAAAGCCGGTGAAGTTCATACTAGAGACAACATTGCAGATATAGATAATTTATTTTTTTAAAAAATGAAAGAAGAAAAAGAAGCATGTTGCTTGTGTAATATTTGGTCTGCATATTTTGATGCCCAACTACCCAAGACATGTTAGCACATAAAAGGTTGTCCAAATTGTTTGTCTTTGTCCAGGAATGCTTGATATCACATCTATTGCTCTAAGATAAGGAGGTGAAAAGGTAGAGGTGAAATGTCTTCTTTTTCGAATTCTTTAAAAATTCAGCCAAAATCACATGATGGGTCATGTCTGCTTAAGCAAAAGCCATGCACTGTAACCTCTGATCTCTGACCTCTAGAAGAAGCTGATCAGAACTGGGACAATGAACAAAAATATAAAAAGAAAAAGAGGGATCAGAAAAGATGATGGTAAAAATTTTCCAGACTGACCTGCCAACGATCATGACCTCCATCTCGGAGGCAGATTTCCTGATGTGGGTCCACACATCCATGGCAAAGATAGTGCTGCTGCTGTTGAAGATGGAAGTCAGTGAGGACATCAAGGCAGCCAACATGACTGCCAGCATCATCCCTCGAGCTCCGGCTGGCAACAGTTCAATCACCAGGGTTGGGTAGGCAATGTTGGAGCAACCACTGGCACTGCCACACACAAAGGAGCAGATGTCTGGGTCAGAGCATCCCACAGTTTCTGTAACCATACAACATTTTCAGCATCTATAACACAACTTTCTTAGCATACACAACACAATACAACAGTCTTAGCATCTATAACACAATTTTCTTAGCATATACAACACAATACAACAGTCTTAGCATCTATAACACAACTTTCTTAGCATATACAACACAATACAACAGTCTTAGCATCTATAACACAACTTTCTTAGCATATACAACACAATACAGTAGTCTTAGGATCTATAACACAATACAACAGTCTTAGCATCTATAACACAACTGTCTTAGTATTTACAACATCATATACAACATAACAGCATTCTTTGGTGTATAGCAAGATTTCTGGTTTTGTAGGACAAAAGAACAGCACCTGCAAGCAAGTTGAAATAAAGATGTTTTAAAATCATGCATCTTTCCCATGACAACTTATGGATGTGAGGTATGGACTGTCATTCAGTCAATCAGAACATTTGAACTGAAATGCCACAGAGAAATTCTTAGAATAGCGTAAAGCAAGAAGAAGAAAAACGCCAACATCCTGCAGCACCTGGACATCACGGAAAACTGGCTCATAAACAGCATCCTGACCCGAGAGCTGAGATATTCAGGACATGTCAAGTGCCGTGCTGGTCTGGAAAGAAAGGTGACGGAGAGAGCAGTTTCTGGAGAACAAGGCAGAGACAACCTCTGTGAAGGTGATCACTGAAGATGCACTGGCTATGAAAGCACACAGGGCTGGAGAACAAGGCAGAGACAACCTCTGTGGTGATCACTGAAGATGCACTGGCTATGAAAGCACACAGGGCTGGAGAACAAGGCAGAGACAACCTCTGTGAAGGTGATCACTGAAGATGCACTGGCTATGAAAGCACACAGGGCTGGAGAACAAGGCAGAGACAACCTCTGTGAAGGTGATCACTGAAGATGCACTGACTATGAAAGCACACGGGGCTGGAGAACAGGGCAGAGACAACCTCTGTGGTGATCACTGAAGATGCACTGGCTATGAAAGCACACAGGGCTGGAGAACAAGGCAGAGACAACCTCGGTGAAGGTGATCACTGAAGATGCACTGACTATGAAAGCACACTGGGCTGGAGAACAAGGCAGAGACAACCTCTGTGAAGGTGATCACTGAGGATGCACTGACTATGAAAGCACACGGGGCTGGAGAACTGGATAGAGAAAGAGAGACACTATAAATAAAGCAATGTTCTGTAAAAGACACGCTGATTGATTGACTGATGATACAAGATTCTTGGTTCTATAGTATAGTATAAGATTCAGTTTCTATGACCATACACTTTCTCTGTTTCTGTAGACATACAACATTCTCAGTTTGTTTGTAAATTGTAGTAAGTGTACAACATTCTAGGTCAAGCGTAATGATGGGGATGATTGTGGTGGTGACGAGTGTGATGACTGTAAAGATGGTGCAAATAATTATATGTTTAGGACAATTATGATAATGGTGGCGAGATTGACACACACACCAAAAAAAATAACAACTTAATAATGACATAATGATAATGTCCTTATGACTGGAGCCACAGAAGAAAATGACAGAGAGAGAGAGAGAGAGAGAGAGAGAGAGAGAGAGAGAGAGAGAGAGAGAGAGAGAGAGAGAGAGACCTAAACACACAAGGGGAAAAGAATTACATACAGAGATGATTAATATGAACAAAGCCAGAAAGAAAACTGCTGACAGAGACGTCTGGCGATCTCTCTGGCAAACCTCTACACCCCAAGGTAGAAGAGGAGCGACTAAGTAAGTAAGATGATTAATATGGAGATGAACCAACAAGCAAGGACACCCAATGAACAAATGCCTGACAAAGTCGGATGAGTCGGCAAGCGCAGCAGCTATGCTGCAAACAGGCACAACACAATTACATCACTAGGACGAATGATGATAAAAAAGATATGGACAGGGAAGACAATGAATGAGTTGAAAAGAGAATGAAAACAGACTGGATGATGTTAGGTGTCGGTTGGAACTTGTTGAAACAGGAGGAGAAGGAAAAGAAGAACAAGAAGAAAAACAACAGCACAGAGACATACGACGGGACACGCAGAGCTGGATTTAGGTTCAACATACGGCGGGGCGTTTTAAAAAAAATGCATATTAAATTTTCTTGTCTTATATTTTAAATGCAATTTTCTTTTAATATATTTCAATTTTCCCAAAGAAACTTTTTATACAAAATTATCCAATTATTTTAGGTATATTATCTCACGCTTGTATCTATTTTAACTTGTAACCTGTTTTAAATAGAATAAAAGAATCAGCGTATATTAACTTCAACCTTTTGATTACTATAACATAATGTCTGTGATTTTGCAAACACATTCTTGATTATTTCTTGTAATAAAAATTAAACAGTAATAATGAATATATTTATATTTTGCAAATATTTAAAAGGCGTATATATCTGAAAGTACCAGGAAGGCTGACCTGGTCAACAAATGCCTGCAGAAGTCGGATGTGTTGGCTAAAAGGTGCATTTATCATTGACAGGCTGTAAACTAACACAACACATTTACATCTTCGGATGAACGCAGATGAGGATATCTGAAATGTTTCCGAGACTGGCTGGCGTAATTTAAAATAAGACAGGCCTCATGGCTTTATACAGCTCAGGGCCTCATCAACTCTAAATCTGGCCTTGAAGACATGACTCACAAGATCATTGGTACGAGACTGTTACAGATTCTAAGAGCCTTGAAGACATGTCTCACAAGATCATTGGTACGAGACTGTTATAGATTCTAAGAGTCATTGGTACGAGACTGTTACAGATTCTAAGAGCCTTGAAGACATGTCTCACAAGATCATTGGTACGAGACTGTTACAGATTCTAAGAGCCTTGAAGACATGTCTCACAAGATCATTGGTACGAGACTGTTACAGATTCTATGAGCCTTGAAGACATGACTCACAAGTTCATTGGTACGAGACTGTTACAGATTCTAAGAGTCATTGGTACGAGACTGTTACAGATTCTAAGAGTCATTGGTACGAGACTGTTACAGATTCTAAGAGCCTTGAAGACATGTCTCACAAGATTAATGGTATGAGACTGTTACAGATTCTAAGAGCCTTGAAGACATGTCTCACAAGATCATTGGTATGAGACTGTTACAGATTCTAAGAGTCATTGGTACGAGACTGTTACAGATTCTAAGAGTCATTGGTACGAGACTGTTACAGATTCTAAGAGCCTTGAAGACATGTCTCACAAGATCATTGGTACGAGACTGTTACAGATTCTAAGAGTCATTGGTACGAGACTGTTACAGATTCTAAGAGCCTTGAAGACATGTCTCACAAGATCATTGGTACGAGACTGTTACAGATTCTAAGAGCCTTGAAGACATGACTCACAAGTTCATTGGTACGAGACTGTTACAGATTCTAAGAGTCATTGGTACGAGACTGTTATAGATTCTAAAAGCCTTGAAGACATGTCTCACAAGATCATTGGTACGAGACTATTACAGATTCTAAGAGTCATTGGTACGAGACTGTTACAGATTCTAAGAGCCTTGAAGACATGTCTCACAAGATCATTGGTACGAGACTGTTACAGATTCTAAGAGCCTAGAAGACATGTCTCACAAGATCATTGGTACGAGACTGTTACAGATTCTAAGAGCCTTGAAGACATGACTCACAAGATCATTGGTACGAGACTGTTACAGATTCTAAGAGTCATTGGTACAAGACTGTTACAGATTCTAAGAGTCATTGGTACGAGACTGTTACAGATTCTAAGAGTCATTGGTATGAGACTGTTACAGATTCTAAGAGTCATTGGTACGAGACTGTTACAGATTCTAAGAGCCTTGAAGACATGTCTCACAAGATCATTGGTACGAGACTGTTACAGATTCTAAGAGTCATTGGTACGAGACTGTTACAGATTCTAAGAGCCTTGAAGACATGTCTCACAAGATCATTGGTACGAGACTGTTACAGATTCTAAGAGTCATTGGTACGAGACTGTTACAGATTCTAAGAGCCTTGAAGACATGTCTCACAAGATCATTGGTACGAGACTATTACAGATTCTAAGAGTCATTGGTACGAGACTGTAACAGATTCTAAGAGCCTTGAAGACATGTCTCACAAGATCATTGGTACGAGACTGTTACAGATTCTAAGAGCCTAGAAGACATGTCTCACAAGATCATTGGTACGAGACTGTTACAGATTCTAAGAGCCTTGAAGACATGACTCACAAGATCATTGGTACGAGACTGTTACAGATTCTAAGAGTCATTGGTACAAGACTGTTACAGATTCTAAGAGTCATTGGTACGAGACTGTTACAGATTCTAAGAGTCATTGGTACGAGACTGTTACAGATTCTAAGAGTCATTGGTACGAGACTGTTACAGATTCTAAGAGTCATTGGTACGAGACTGTTACAGATTCTAAGAGTCATTGGTACAAGACTGTTACAGATTCTAAGAGTCATTGGTGCGAGACTGTTACAGATTCTAAGAGTCTTGAAGACATGTCTCACAAGATCATTGGTACGAGACTGTTACAGATTCTAAGAGTCTTGAAGACATGTCTCACAAGATCATTGGTACGAGACTCTTACAGATTCTAAGAGTCATTGGTTACGAGACTGTTACATATTGTAAGAGTCATTGGTACGAGACTGTTACAGATTCTAAGAGCCTTGAAGACATGTCTCACAAGATTATTGGTACGAGATTCTTACAGATTCTAAGAGCCTTGAAGACATGTCTCAAAAGATCATTGGTATGAGACTGTTACAGATTTTAAGAGTCATTGGTACAAGACTGTTACAGATTCTAAGAGCCTTGAAGACATGTCTCACAAGATCAATGGTACAAGACTGTTACAGATTCCAAGAGTCTTGAAGGCATGTCTCACAAGATCATTGGTACGAGACTGTTACAGATTCTAAGAGTCTTGAAGACATGTCTCACAAGATCATTGGTACGAGACTGTTATAGATTCTAAGAGTCTTGAAGACATGTCTCACAAGATCATTGGTACGAGACTGTTACAGATTCTAAGAGTCTTGAGGACATGTCTCACAAGATCATTGGTACAAGACTGTTACAGATTATAAGAGTCTTGAAGACATGTCTCACAAGATCATTGGTACGAGACTGTTACAGATTCTAAGAGTCTTGAAGACATGTCTCACAAGATCATTGGTAAAAGACTGTTACAGATTCTAAGAGTCTTGAAGAAATTTCTCAGAAGATCATTGGTACGAGACTGTTACAGATTCTAAGAGTCTTGAAGACATGTCTCACAAGATCATTGGTACGAAACTGTTACAGATTTTGAGAGTCATTGATACGAGACTGTTACAGATTCTAAGAGCCTTGAAGACATGTCTTACAAGATCAATAGTACGAGACTGTTACAGATTCTAAGAGCCTTGAAGACATGTCTCACAAGATCATTGATACGAGACTGTTACAGATTCTAAGAGTCTTGAAGAGATGTCTCACAAGATCATTGGTACAAGACTGTTACAGATTCTAAGAGCCTTGAAGAGATGTCTCACAAGATCATTGGTACAAGACTGTTACAGATTCTAAGAGCCTTGAAGACATGACTCACAAGATCATTGGTACAAGACTGTTACAGATTTTAAGAGCCTTGAAGACATGTCTCACAAGATCAATGGTACAAGACTGTTACAGATTTTAAGAGCCTTGAAGACATGCCTCACAAGATCAATGGTACAAGACTGTTACAGATTCTAAGAGCCTTGAAGACATGTCTCACAAGATCAATGGTACAAGACTGTTACAGATTCTAAGAGCCTTGAAGACATGTCTCACAAGATCAATGGTACAAGACTGTTACAGATTATAAGAGCCTTGAAGACATGTCTCACAAGATCAATGGTACAAGACTGTTACAGATTCTAAGATGCAGCTAAAAAAACACAGCTGCCAGAAAGTTTACTGCCCAACTAATACAATATATGTGAGATAATCAGCCTCGCTGAAGACAAACTACTGAGACAAAAAAAAGATTTCAAAGTAACGACAAACATGGAATGTTTACGTATCATACTAGGTGTAACAAGGAAAGATTAACTTAAGAATAAAGCTATCAGGAGAACAGTCGGCACAGAATCAATGCTCAACTTTATCGGTAGACAACAGATCAAATGGTGTGGCCATGCAACAAGACCGGCAACAGAGAGGATAGCAAAGAGGAGGGCAATGTTATACAGACACACCAGCAACAGAGCCAGAGGTCAACAGCGCAGAGTATAGACCACAGTAATTTAGGAGACATTGAAAAGTACTATACACGAATTAAACAGTAGGACCCGTTTCAGAGGTCAATTCCTGTCATGGCGCTGCGAGGCATTTCAGGAATAGAGAAAATAAAGAAGAAAACACACAGAAAACAGAAGGATGGCCTTGAACAGTTCAATAATTATAACAACAGATAAACATACAGACCTATATTCAGACAGAAAGACAGAAACGGCCAACAGAAGAACAGACAAAGACAAGATTACCTACAGAGAATCTTGATTTACCTGTAAACAATATCCTGGCAATCATACCCGGGAAGACAAGCAGAAACAGAGGCAGGATTTTGAGAAAGCCACACAGTAGTGTCCCAGCTTTGGCGTGGGTTATTGTCTTGGCTGCTAAGGCTCTCTGCACAATCACCTGAAATATCATCATCATCATGTATCAAGTTCTTCACAGAATCTCACTCGTCACAACTCACCAGAAAGACCTAGTCCCTTGTTAATTCTGTGCCCAAGACGTTGAGAAATATTCTAGAACAGCTACTTAGGAAAAGAAAGTTAACCCTTTCACCCTGGGAAGAAAAAAAAAAACACACAAAAAAATAGGCCATGACACAGAATTCCAGAAAAAATATATAAAAAGAATATTTACATGTGTCATTAATGGATTCCTTTACAATTAATTTATCTACACAAATCTTGTGTGTCAAAATATATAAAGATAGATGAAAGAATAATCACTAAACACTAACAGGGTAAAGCATTAAATATAGTACATCCCTCTTCTCATGTGGGTTCAGGGGTCCCACTGTGGAGGAATCCACTGCCCCTCTGACAAGCATGTCTTAAAAGTTGACTGGTCAAACCCAGGATACCAGGCCAGGGAAGGTCGCTGGTCAAAGGGTCACGGAACAAATGCATATAGTCAAGGCAACAAGTTTTAGCGTGGGGGTAACCATCGCATTATAACCACCAACTGACGGAAAGGTAAACATATCACATCAAAATGAAGAGAATAAGACAAGCAAAACAATTATTTTCTTCTTCTTTGCATTCACCGGCTGTAAACAACAGTAGAAAGTTGTGGTTGTTCGTCCACCTCTGGACTTCAGTCATGTTCCAGAACCTTAGTGTTGTGTGTTATCCATTTTACAGATCTGACTTATCTGTATTTAGAATGTTGGTTCCTCACCTCTCAGGCAGATGCAATCCAACTTCGAAGCAAACCCTGAAATTAGTCGACTCTTATGACATGCTTGTTGAGGAGGCAGTCAGTCTATTCTTGTTCCACCCCCCCCTCCCCCAACCCCCAAATAGGTTCCCGGAACCCACAGGGAAGAACGATTCTATAAACTGAAAAAAATCTTAAACAGAAAGTCATTATGTGCGGATTCCAGGGCCATGTTTTTGGGATTAAAGAAACAGAGCCACTGTTCCTTGACAAGCATGTCACAAAAGGCAACTAATTAAGGATTTGCTTAAATCTGATGTGTCTGGTCAACAGGTGCAGATATCACAGCCGACCTGTAAACCACAATACAACATGCCAAACACTCTCTCAAGGGTGAATGAGAAAAGATACGATAAGTCCTTGTAATTAGAGATTCGGACAAGAATCTGTGCATGTTATGTAGAACCAGTTATAACATATATGGATGTCAATAAAGATGAGAATCCTGGGCACTCAGCAAAACAAAACAAAAAACCACATAAAAAGTGGTTTCAGCTAAGAATACTGAAAATACCTCTGACAGCTAAAAAAACACATTTACTTCAGGTCAAATCAATCACAGATTTACTTAAGGACAAATCAATCACAGATTTACTCCAGGTCAAGTTAGTCACAGATTTACTCTAGGACAAGTTAATTACAGATTTACTTCAGGTCAAGTCAATCACAGCAGATTTACTCCCAGACAAGTCCATCATAGATTTACCCCAGGACAAATCAGTCACAGATTTACTCCAGATCAAATCAATCACAGATTTACTCCAGGTCAAGTCAGTCACAGATTTACTCTTGGTCAAGTAAGTCACAGATTTACTCCAGGTCAAGTCAATCACAGGTTTACTTAAGGTCAAGTCAGTCACAGATTTACTCCATGTCAAGTAAGTCACAGATTTACTCCAGGACAAGTAAGTCACAGATTTACTTCAGGTCAAGTAAGTCACAGATTTACTTCAGGTCAAGTCAGTCACAGATTTACTTCAGGTCAAGTCAGTCACAGATTTACTTCAGGTCAAGTAAGTCACAGATTTACTTCAGGTCAAGTCAGTCACAGATTTACTTCAGGTCAAGTAAGTCACAGATTTACTTCAGGTCAAGTAAGTCACAGATTTACTTCTAGAAGGAAAAAACAAACAATTCATGGAAGTTATTGGCGACGGCAGGTACAAGAAATTACACAGAGCTGGTGGTCTTTTATGCGATTAGCTGCATGTGTAACTGCTGAGCTGTTATAAACGCTTCTTTCATCAATGATGAACTGCATTTCTAGTGCTGGAGTGTTTGTGCTGGCACTCCTGATGGCTGCATTATACATTAACGCATAATTGCTTAGCTGAGACTGCAGTTTGGTTTGTTTCACAAGTGATAGTGATGGACATTCTTTAAAATTTTTGCTTGTACAGTTCACAGCTGAGCAACTATAGGGTGACCTGTTTGCTGTGATGCTGAACTGTGCACTGATTAAATTCAGCACTGGAATTGTATGGTTAGGTGACTAATACACTCACCAATTTTCTCTGTCAGAGAAATGACATTTAGAAGATTGGGCAAAAATAGATTTTTGGCTTACATGATGCAACTAGTTATTTCTTGAAGTGTGACCACAGACAAGTGAATCTCCTAAACAGGTTGTCATTTGGTAATTTATGTTTTTTCCCAATTCATCTAATGTTTGTGGCAATACAGTTTTTGATGAAATTTAAAATAATACCAAGGATGGACAGATAAATGAACAAGGTAGTTCTTAAAAAAAAATAATATGATAAAAGCTACTGATTAGAAATATTACACAAGGACAGTTGTTGGTTGTCAAATTTCTTTTTTTCAGGTGGCGTCTCCCTTGAATATATATCAAGAGCCCACACAAATAAAAACAACAACAAAAAATGTGATACAAATGAGGAGAATAAAAACATAAAAGTGTCATCCTATACAACAAACGACTGCAGACACCGGTGAACTATATACCCCCTGTACTTCA